AATATATATATATATATAATATATATATAATATATATATATATATAATATATATATATAATATATTATATGTATGTATCTAAAACAGTCATATAATATAGTTAAATTCATGAACAAAATTCAAATATATAATAGAGATGTCAACTATAATAATATAATCAATAATAAAAATTTGTAAAGAGATAAAAAAAGATTAATAGAAGTAAACTTATATTTTAAAATAAAATTTTATTCTTTTAATGTACTTTCTATGAATATTTTTCTAATCGAATACTATTTCATAGAAAATCCCCAAAATTTTAATGAAATTTAAATCACTAACAAACATCAAATTAAATCATTTGTAGATAGTTTAGAGACATTCAAATTTATATCAAACATTATAATCTTTATGAACCCCCAAAATAACACTTTCAAAGTAAAACAAAATAACAGCGTCTGTTTCTAGCCTTTTTTTTACAAAGAAAATTAGTGACACTTTCTCTCATGACTTCCTTATCTCTTTTTCTCTCTATGGGTTTTTTCTTCTCTACCCCTTCGATATCAATACATAACTTCCGTTAAGTTAACCGTTTAAATGTGTCAATGTCTGCTAACTCACTCATGTCTTCTCTCTCCCCCCCTCACTTCGTTAATTTCCATATGTTTAATACGGCCCGTCAAAAATGTGTAAATTTTCTTTTCATTTTTTGTTTGGAAGTAAAGTCTGATGATCCGTAGTCCTTTAAAAGGGCTGTGGTGAAATAATTTATTACATGGAACCTTAAAGTGGTTTGTTTTTATTTAAATTATTTGCTCTGGATTTTATCCTCCTTAGGTTTACCCATACGGATTACCTAGTTTTTCATAAATATATATATATATATATATATATATATATATATATATATATATATAAATAAATATATATATATGTGTGTACAGATTACCTTCGAGGAAAAATTTTTTATGCAAACACTATAAATTTTGTTTTTGAAATGCTCAAAGTAATACATTTTATTTGCACTCACTTCCACTTAATTTTTAATTTTGTTCAGTTTGCAGTTAGTCTAATTTAAATATTGAAGTCTAAGTTATATTCACTCAGATTAATTTTTCATAGTACAAAAATCTTGATTTTTTTTTTTATTGTTTTTAATAATTACTGATTGAAAGTTGAGGATTTTTTACATTTACTTTTTAATGGCTTTGGGTCAAAACACAAAAAGCGGTCATAATCCAGATGCTTATTGATGCAAATTTAAAGAATGACAAACTGTTTTTTTAGAATGCTGTTGCTGCTATATGGGAAGCAATCAGAGATTTGGTAGACTCTCCTTCCACGGAAGATAGACATGTGACTCTTGTATTTCTGCTCCACATAATAAAAGGCCAGGTAAGAATGCTTTTTCTTTCTCTCTCTTTCTCTCTCTCATTTTAATTGATTTTCTGTAATTGAAAGGACAGCTAAAAGTAGTACAGTTAGTAGCAGTTTTGAAAATGAAATTCCAAAAATATGTCATTTGTTGTTGTTAATTTCATTACAGAGGAAAAACATAAATCCACTTGTCCTTTTACATATAATACCGAGGTCAACTCTTAGAAATATTTTGTCAACTCTTGCAGTATGTCCTGTTGATGCTAACTGTTCTATGCTATAGTGGTCGGCAAGAATGATAAAAATGAAGCTTATGTTATGAAAGTTCCTGTATATTAAAACTGAATATATTTAACATTTCTTGAATTCAAAAATGACGGTTAATGTTATGCAACAAATGCCTTTACAGTTGAGTATCTTTCTGAAATTTATCATCTCTTTTTTTCTGTGTTTTTAATTGAGTTTTTTATTGAGTTTTTTATTTTCCACACCTTCATTTAGGGAGAACACTTGGGACCACTGAGAAGTCATTTCTTCAGAGTCATTCAGAATTTGAGTAATCCTGAAGATCTGAGTCACAGGTAGTTATTTTGATGTAATTGCTTTGTCTACAATACTCCCCAACCCCATACCCAATATATATTTTCATTTTTCTTTTTATTGCACATCTGAGATCCCATCTTTATATATTTTATATATATATATATATATATATATATATATATATATATTTAGACACCCCCACCTTAACCTGACTTGACATATATGAAAGTAACTCTATACTGATACTTATGTCAAACAATTCGCCCTGGCTGTTAACATGGAAATTTTGATTTCAATTATGAATATACTATTAAAACACGTAAATTTCAGAAATAAGTTATTCCCAAAAAAATTTTGCTTGAAGATGGAACAGAGCTTACTTTAACTCAATTTAATTGAAATAATTATATTGAAGTTTTCGGCTCTTGTTTTGAAACATGAGACCTCTTATGTCACGAGTTTGAATCATATTTTTAAATTAATATATATATATATATATATATATATATATATATATATATATATGTGTGTCTATATTTCTGAGATGAGGTATTATGTACATTATTTACATTATTTGGACTATTGTACTCATCTTTGTCGCCATATTTATTACAACATTTCGGCCATTGTATGCTCTGGCCTTCTTCAGGTGGTTGGAATGTCGAACTTAACCCTTTATTTCGTTCACTGGGGTAGACTGTTCTAGTTCCACATGCCATGTTTAATCGATGTCAGTTATCAGTTATCTTCTGTTAATTTCCCTCTGAAAGTTCTCCACTGCCTTAACCGGGTATTGAACTCACACTCCTTGTGTCCTGTCACTGGATCTAACCAATACCATTATCCACTGTGCCATGTGTCCTCAAGGATAAAGGCCGGAGTGTACAATGGCCGAAATGTTGTAATAATGTGTGTGTGTGTGTGTGTGTGTGTCCATGCAGTCACTAATCTATCCAAAAATGGAAAGATGATTTTACAAGAGTACAAAGAAGTATAGATGTCCACTTGGCTTCTGTCAAAACTTAGGGAACCTAGTTTCTAAGTTTAGGTATCTTTTCAAGTTGGTATAGATGACAGTAAATTGTTGAATGGCTTGAATTCAATTTGAGCATATTTTTCAATTGTTACAGTATTTTTTCTGTCATGTTCAAACAAAAATGGATCATCATTAAACACACCTGGATGACCTGTTCATGGCACATCTCACCTTTTGTAAAAATTTCAAAACCATTTTCAATAATTTCTTTAATTTAAAAAATCTATCCCATAAAAAACATATTTCAGATAACTTCTACAGCATTATGGACTTGTATTTTTTATGTACTCTTTAAACATGTCCATCTTTAGGAAGGTCAGATTAGTAACTAAATTAATTGACTTGTCCTCTAACAATATAATTTAATTGCTTGAAACTACAGGAACATGTGCTAGCATGTTTTCATTTAGGCTTTTTAGAATATTAAAAATATTCAGTCTATTGCTATTAAATTTTAAACATTATGGGATGTTCTAATATAAATTAGTTCCTTTTCCTAAATCAGTGTAATATTCTCAAACAAGTTAATTTTTTACGATCAAAAATGATGTTGTTTGCAGACACATTAATGGTTCTATTACAATAAAAAAAAATAAGTTGTTGACAAACATATGTGAGTAGAATATTCAACAAGGTTAAAATTTAGTTGCTACAGTCTTTTTTTAGTTACTGACAATTTTATGCTGGTTTTTGCTTAATACCCCAAAATGTTATATTTCTCTCCTTCTCTTGAGGAAGTTTTTTTTTTTTTTTTTTTTTTTTTTTTTTTTTTTGATAGGGGGTACTTCTTAAAAATGAAATGAAGATTGTGTGTCTTCATTTAGGACATATAGATTTGTTAAAGGATAAGCTGCTATTTAAAAGTGTGTTGTACAAAGATGATTGGTCAGTAAATCCAATACATAATTATAGACTGAATTTTGATCTGATACACAATTATAAAATGATCTTTTGATCTGAAATGGATAATAAATTTGTGATTAATATTCACTACTGATTTGTGATGAAAAATACTTATTACATAAAATAAATGTCTTTTTTTATCTATGTACGTATAATTGAACATTTTTGTGCACATGATCACCATGGTTGATTTGTCAAGGTGACTTCTTGATATTGACCTGGAGAGAATATCCCAGTGTACATCACCTTTAGAAAGTACCTGAAAGTTATTCCATGCATTGCCTTGTGAGTGAAATTGGGTAGATGGAATTGTTTCAGAAGTCATTAATAATTGCACTAGCATATTGTCACAAGTCATTGTGACCGAGGGTTTGAGTGTACTGGCCTTGTTCAAACTGTTGATCACACCACTCTCTCCCGGAATTTGTAACTAAGGTCTGGCATAGTTGCAGTATAAGCCACAAGTGGGCTCTCTATGACAAACACAAATGTGCCTGAGCAGGCGTCTGCAACAAGGATTGGTTAGCCGCTCTAGCAGATAGGTTTGTTCAAAACAAGTAGCCAGTCTTTATATATATATATATATATATATATATATATATATATATATATATATATATATATATATTTATTAAAGACATATATTTATGTTTAACGTTGTTATTTTATAGATACAAGTATTTAAGCAAATGCTCTGTTTATGATAAACAGTATTAAATAACATTTACCGGCCTGAATGTCCATAAATTTTCATAGAAAATTTTCGTTCTTTATAGATTCGAACCTGCATCCCTATACGGAACCATCATATGACGTGCCTTTTCTTAATATAAAGAACCATTTGTTTACAAGGTCGAATTTACGCTTATAAAGCAACTTTCCATGAATGTCATAATGCATGGAAAGTTGGAGTTTAAATGACGTCATATATTAAAAAATGGACTGACAATTTTATTTGAAAGTAATTTATGTTTAACAAAAGGCACGTCTTTAATAAATAATAGTATGATGGTTAAGTATAGGATGCAGGTTCGAATCTTGTCAAAGAACGAAAATTTTCTATGAAAAGACATTCAGGCCGGTAAATGTTATTTAATACTGTTTATCATAAACAGAGCATTTGCTTAAATACTTGTATCTATAAAATAACAACGTTAAACATAAATATATGTCTTTAATAAATAAATTGTCGGACCTTGTCCATTTCTTAATATATATATATATATATATATATATATATATATATATATATATATATGTATAATTTGTTACTTAACTGATTGTTATTCTCAGGATCCCCACTCTAGAGTTTTGTAGATTTTTGTAGATAGACCTTCCAGCAATCACTTCATCCTCTCATCAGGAGATATCAGCAATTGGCTGTTTATTTTCTTTTATATTGAGTTAAGAAACAACTTATGCACTTTTCATTGGTGCAAGGTTGATTTTTCTTCTTTTGGTTTTGTGTGTGTGTACACATGTAACTGTGTAGAATGTTGTGGTTATTTCTTGTTTTTGTCATTTTTCTTGTCTCTTTATACTCTCCCCTCCACCTTATTGGTTTTATGCCTTTTTCTTTCTCTCTCTTTCAACTTTGAATGTTAGAGACAAATGTAGCTATATGTTTTTTCAGACAGTTACTGCTCTTATTAATTCTTGAGCCTTCTAGGACTTTCTTGAGTTTGGAAAATGTAGGTGTATTTCATATTTTTACTTAAATAATTTTTTTTATTATTAATGCTTTAAATGGTAAGGTAAATATTTACATATCTTCACTTGCCCATTGATTCATTTTTCTTATTTGATTTGGTAGTATTTTGAGTATTATAGGAAGTTATGTTTATAATTAAATTTTATTTATTGTTTGAATTTGTATGCATATATTTACATTTATACACACATACACACACACACACATGTATATACATGCACATGTGTAGCTGTGATTTTATATTAATGCCTAAATGGTAAAGTTTTTTTTTTTTTTTTTTTATCTGTCTTGGTGATATATGAATTTAACAAGTCAAAACTTTTTTCTTGCAGAAACATTAGTTTATAAAAACATTATATAGAATGAAAGTAATTCTGTATATCATGCTTTTAGATATTTAATATTTTATTAACTAAAATAAAGTACCAAGAAATTTACTTAATTTTTCAGTGTTTATTCACATCCTCATCAGCAGAACATTCTAAAAGAAATTAACTTTCTTTGCTGACTTATTACTCTGTTAAGCAAAAATGAATAAATACACAATTAAAAAAATTGAATGTGGTTAGAGATGATTGAATCTTCTATCTTTTCTTCAAATGTTTAAAAAACTTGATTTGTAAGATTAGATCATACTCATGTTATCTGACCTTTTACACTGATCAAAGTTTGATCAAAAGGTTTTATTTACATTGACTACTTTGGATTCAGGATCAAGGGTTAGTAGAAACACAATCAATCTTTCAGGTGATTGTATTTATGAAGTACGTTTTTATGATGTAAGATTGCTAACCCTATCCTGCTAATATTTTGCTAATTTCACCTATTGCTGGGTGGAGGACTGAATTTCACTCCTGGTTTTGAATTTGGTTATCTTTCTAGAATGGTTACCAGCCAATACTAGAGAGCCTAGTCTGCTATACTTTTTCACCTATAGCTGGAAAGAGAAATGTCTTTCCCAAATGTGAATACATAATTTGGGCTATGCTGATTCATTTGCTTTATTTTCTGTGCTATTAAACATTAGGTCCCCATAGCTTTTCTGTGATATTTAAAATCTATATCATCTCTAGGATTTGTCAAAATTGCTTAAATGGTAGCTTTGTAATAATTGGGTATAAATTGTTTTGAACTGTTCCTGCAAAATCTTTACTTCTATCTGATAAATTGAATGTGTAACATTGTACAGATCAGACAATTGAATTTGGGTCTCTACTTGAAAACTATATTGAACAATTGATAATGTTTTTAGATTTTTATTCTTAAATGAACAATTCTGATGTTTTGTCTTGATCTTTATTTTTCAGATTGGAGTTATTTCATGCTCTTACTGCAAATGGAAAAGATTTAACGTATTTTGAAACGGAGACTGGTAAGTTTGATTTTTATATTTTAGACAAGTGTCAAAAAAAAAGATAGACTAACTAAAAGTAAATTATTACATTGTTATTCTCTGTACTTTTCATTAATGATAATGTAAATTTAGGTTTGAATAATTGAAATATTAGTTTTTGTTTAATTTTATTTTTGTTGTTAGGGGTCTGAGTAAGAATCCAGGTAAAGTATATAGATAACAATAAAAGCAAGAAGTTAACCAAAAAAAAAAAAAAAAAAAAATAAATAGAAAAGCATGGAAATCATATGAAAAATTTTATCTTAAAATGCCCGACTGGAGTTTTTAACAATTTTTTTATTTTTATTCATTTTTAGGTACCTTGATCCTGAATTGGATGTTTGAGATTTCCAAATCAAATCGTATCACTGAATTTCTGGCATTAGTTGTAAATATAATCCGTTACAATGTGGGCTATTTTGACGATTCATCTATGTCTGGGATTATCAAGTATGTTTGTTTTTTTTTTTTTTTTGTTTTTTCTCTCATATTCTTATTTTCTAAAATTATTTTATTAATTTTTATTGTTATCTGTGTGAGAATTAGAAAATCTTTTGTAATTGGAGGATGCAATAAAGAATTTAATTACAATAGAAAATTAAATATAAATGAAAGGAAATTTCAGATTGTAAAGAAAAAAAAATGTAACTTATTAAATGAATTATTTGGGCTGGTATTTTGACCTTTTTGATTACTACATTTCAGTAAGTCAACTCTGGTTATATCTCGTGTGAAAAATGTATACAACATACACTGGACAAAAATCAAAAAGACTACCTGCTAGAATGTAATGATTGAAACACCAAAGATCAGGATACTAGTTTGGAAGATTTGTCAAATAATGACAATGTTTCAACTCATAATTTCAGGCTGCTGTTTAGCCAGTTGTATCTCAGTATTTTAATTTAATTTTCTCCAGTTGATAATCTGGAGTTTAAACAATGTACACAAATATACCTTACTTCTATGGTGACTTGACAAACTTAGTAAATTATTAAATATATTATTTAATCAGTGTTTTAAGGTGTTTGTATTTTTGTCAGATTGTGGGAGGGACCGCCCATGATTACCTGAAATAATATAGTAAACTTTGTCAGTAATACGTTACTTTAAACTTGTAAATGGCATCAAAAAGATAGTATTGTTTATTAAATACCTGGATAATTTACATTTATATGTCTATGACATGTTTTTTTTTTTTTTTTTATCACTTTCTTGTTTTAGATTAAAGGTTTCTATTTTTAATGATTTCTTTTCTATATCATTCGTTTCTTATAAATATTTGTTATCAGAGTTTAATTGCACTATTTTTTTCCCCAATTATTTTTCAAGATGCACGTGTACCTTGACTGCAACAGTTAAAGATCTAAATGATATTCAGGTACAGATATTTTCCATTATTTTTGCATACTTCTAATAGCATTTTTGATAATTGTAAATTTATTTTTTTTTTACTTAATTCTATTTAATAAATTCTTTTCTTTTTTTGTTTTTAATTCTTCAAATTCTTCCAGCAATGTGTGGAACTTTTAGGTTTGGTTATTCATCTCCAATGTGTTCCATCTGAATGCCTGACTTATATTGTTACCGTCCTGTGTCGCACTTTGAACATCCGAAATAATGGAAATGCTAGTCGAGAGGTAAATGCTACTCTTTTCTTTTCTCTCTCTTTTTTTTTTTTTTTTGAAATGCCTCTGGTCCTCTCCCCATTCCATGCTAGTCAAGTGATAAATAATACTTTTTAATACAATTATACAATAAGAAATTGCAATTTTAACTTTTGTTTCAAATTTGGTTGTCATATATGTATCTTCTCCCCATTCCCATTACAAATTTTGAGTCAAAATTTAGTTCTGTATCTATTGTTCAATTTTGTTTTTCTCAAGACTAATTTGATCATTTTATGTCATCATTTGTATTTCATAATCCGGTCATGTCTGCTTGGAAAACTTTTACTGACTGATATTGCTTGGTTTACAAACTCTTAAAAAATTGGAAACCTACATGTGACATTTTGCTGGAAGAGTGAAAACTATTAAAACTTCTGATATTATTTTAAACTAGAGTAAAATAGGAGGATTGATTTAACTATTAGTAATTTAATTTCTTTTTTTGTTTATATTTTTGAGAAATTTAAACAATGAAGAGATTAACAAGTAGCACCTTTTTTAAGTCCAGATTATCATCATTTTACTTTCTAGTAAGTTTTCTTCTTTCAGAAGGCATTATAGTTATTCTTTTCAACTTCATAAGAGTTTAAACATATAGTGTATGTGCCAAGTCCCTTGAGAACATGGGCAATCATTGTTCTCAAAAACCTGTTGCTCTTACCAGTAGTTGTTCCTTTATGGGTCCCTTCCCCTTTCTCTTTGTTGTACTTCTACCCTCTTCTGTTTGCTTAAACTTGTCAAGTAGGTTAATTGATGCTTTCATTTGCTTCTTTTACCTTTGATGAGCCATGTGAGTATTAAATTCTCCAAGCCATCTTTCCTTATGTTTTCTCCAAATTTTAACACCTTCTGACTAAAAGGTTTCTTTGTAATTTATGGAGAAGTGCCAGAGGGTTCTTAGTATTATTTATTGGAAATTTTTGAAATGAATAAACAGAATCAAAAGTATAAAAAAATTATATATGTTTATTTGATTTCGATTGGAGTGAGTCCTTTGTAATTTAGGTTGGCAAAAGTCCATTCGGCTAGGTAGTTGATAGTTTACCAGTGTGTGTTTACTTTGGAAACTTGTGGAAGAGCAGAAAAATGTCTTAAGCAGATGACTGCTTAACTTTCATACTGGTGACGAAGATGTGATACACACAACTTGGCTTCATTGGAAATTTAGACACACTAAAATTCACAAAAAAAAAAAGGAACATGAATAAATTCAAATTTCAGCATAAAAGGCTGCATCCAACAGTAAGTCTTAACAAAACAAGTCATCACTGAGAAGATCTTATCAAACAAGCAAACAATAAGTGGTGAGTCGTTGCCTTCTTTTATTGCTCTATGTATTTTTCCCAGTCTACCATAGCTAAAAAAGCAAAAAAACAGACTTTTGATACCAAGCTTTGTACTAATAGTTTAGAGCTCTGACTTAAGCGATATAAATAGACAGCTGAGAGGTAGAGAGAGAGATGTGACCACAAGAGAAACCAACTCAGCATGTTATGTGAAGAAGTTTGCTTGTTTTTTTTGTCATAGCTTTTTAATATTACTCATCTTAGGATTATGCAAAATGAAGTCATTCTAACTTGTGACGATAATTTTAGTCATTTTAAAGAAAACTTAAAAGTTTGTAAAATATCATATTTGACATTTGTTCTGATTACATTAATTGTTTGTTATATAATAATCTTTTTTTTTTAATTTTAAATCTTAAATTCATTGTTTCAGGTGATGAGAAAATTACTAAGTACACATCTTGGGCATCATGTGGTGCACCTTATGTGTTGTATGTTGGAGGAAAAGTAAGTTTTTTTTTTGTTTTTTTTTTTTTAAATAAAAAATACATTTTTTATTGTGTCTTCTTATAAATTCTATATTTTTTAAAGAGAAAAATATTTAGTTAAATATTCTTGATTTGTTATTTGAGACTAAAGTTGTTTAATACTATCATTGTTTTCAGTATTTTTTGAGATAGGAATGGATTTCTGAAAAATTTTTTATATTTGTACTGATCTACACACATTCAAATAACTTTTGCTCTCTTTTCCTCTCTTTATAATTATCTATATGTAATACTACGGTTCAGTTTTACTGGATTTTCAATCAGTTTTCTTTTTAGAAACTAATCATTCAGCTGACATTCTCTCCATTTTATCATTTTTATTGTCTTCAATTAAAATCAATATACACATTCAAAGATGTGCAAAGTTTTTCTAGTTATAAAAGTTTTATCAAATATGAAAATCTCTAAAATTATTCATTGTTTCTGGAAGCAAAAAGAATTTTATTTTTCATTTTCATACTAAGTTTACTTGAATCCTGCAAAATTAAAATAAATTTAATATGAAAATATTAAAAGTAGCAGTAGCCCTAGTGAAAGATTATTAACTGTTATTTCTTTTTCCAAATATGTTACAAGTTGCTAATAGAGCTGCTATCATATAAAAAATAGTTTTCTTCCCTTTTTTTCATTTGATGTTTTAATTAGTTATAATTTTTTCCAATTGCGTTTTTACACATTAAAGCATATTTTAAAATATTGTAATTATCTGAGCAAAAAAAATTGTCCATTTTCAGGAATTTCCATTTGTTAAGTCCTAGAATTGCAATAAGAGAATGTCATCTGTAGCTCATAAGCTCAATAAGATTATTTCCTAATTGAAAACAACATTTTTCATTCTGAAATGAAGTAATTTAAGTGTTTGTAATTACTAAACTTAGTTTGGCACTAGGTGAGAATCAAATTCACTACTTAGTATTAATGGTTAACCATTACCCCACCTTGAGGAATTTCAGTGGTTATTGCAAATAAGTCTTCATTGACTTCATTTTGAAGTTATATTGTAAGTTGGAAGAAAAGTTAAGTTTTTTTGTTTGTTTTTTTTATATATTTGTGTATGTTTTTTTTTAAAGATACATGTTTTTTTCTGCTGCATTAAAAAACAAAATCCCAATTTATTTAATTTTGATTTTATAACTCATTTCTATCACAAAACAAATATGCTTACAAATTTCATAAAATTATATACATACAACTCCTCATTCCAGAATTTCAAACAGGAAAGTGTTAGAATAATTATGGCCTACAGGATTAGTTTGTGAAGTATAGCTCCATTAGTCTAAACTTTTTGCACAAAAACGAAATAATTACTAAAGTAATAATGATACAGGATTAGTTTACTGTTATTGTACCTATTCTATTATTAATAGACTTTCCTCCATTAGTAGTAAACAGTGATGTTGAGCTTAGTTTATCGGACATTGAAGTACCAACCAAAACTAAATTGTGCTATTAACTCCGAACCTAATTTAGGGAGGATTGAAATACAAGCCTCCACTGTGAAAACTAACAACATTTACAAGCTAAGATGCTGGTGACCAGTTATTCCATGAACATGTTTTGATAGGTTTACTTTTGTTCCAATGAGAACCTGGCTTTCAGTGAGATTTACAAACTAATTCTATTATTATTGTTGTATATTGTCTTTGATATTTTCCAGTTTAAAAGACCAAAATACAAGATCTCTCCAATCTTTATTAAGTCAATATAGTGAAATGTACAGTATTTACATTAGTCGGACTATTGTCCTCATCTTTGATTTGTTGAGCAATAGTCAGTGAATATCGGACCCTTTATTTGAAGTAGACTGTTCTAATTCCATGCCATGTTTGATAGATTATCAGTTATCTCTAATTTTAAGTTCTCTTATTTCAAGAATTGAACTAACCTTCTTTTTGTTTTTGGATCTAACCAACACCTTTATCCAATGTGTTTAGGACATCTGGGTACTGAATTATAAACCAATGTTTTCCATCCACCAGTGCTCAAAATTTTGCTGTTATCATTCATGTCTTTACCAGAGTTCATATTGCAACTTTGTTATCATTGCTTTTCTCTGGCAACTTATTACTGGTTCCCATATTGTATTTATTTCTATGCTTCCCGGCTCCTTAGAGCATATGTTATTCCTTTTGAACATGGTGTTTTGATATTAATTCCTTTTCTCCATATTGGTCAGCCACGCCTGATCCAATGAGAATCTCTCCTTTATATTCCTTTCCAGCTGCATGGGATTTACACAAGTCTTTAGTCATGTTGTCTCTATCACTTAAATTTTACTTTTTTGAAGGTTGTCCTGATGTTATATGGACCGCAGATCTTGATATTTTTCTGATAAGTTCAAAAGGCACCAAAGTCCGACAAGATCTCCAATCTTTCATCTCAGAAATATAGACAAACAACATAGCTGAAATGGTTAAATTTTTTGCTTAAACTGAATAAAACTTATTTTTGGAGAATATATGGTGCATTTTGTTGTTCATTTTAATTAATATTATTTTCTGTCTTTTGTCAGAGATCATCCAATTGATGAACAAGTACTTCGTGCAGCTGTCTACTACCTTGGTATGGCATTGTGGGGCTCCAAGAAAGTGACAACATTAAGTCAACCGCCATCTGCAGTGTTGCCTTCCTTCTTGCAAGTAGGTCTATTTTATGATCTTTGTCAATGTGAACCAAATTCCTATGAATTGATTCTAGGTGGAATTATAAAAAAAGAAAATTATATTGATGACCATAATCAATATCAGAGGTGGCCAAACTTGCTTAATGTAAGAGCCACATATGATAAACTTCAGATGTTTGAGAGCCACAAGACATGGAATTAGAATTTAAATTCTTAAATATTTTTTACTAACCATGAACATTAAACTTACATTTTAATCCAATGGGGTCTCTATTCATACCCAGTAAATAATTATAAAGGTTGAAATTTTTTTTATTTACCTTTTTATATTGACTGTGATGAAAAAGGAGCTCAACTAACATATTTCGATGAGCCACATTAAAGGTCAAAGAGCCACATGTGGCTTATGAGCTGCGGTTTGGCCACCTCTGATCTATATAATAATGATGATTATGGCAGTTGATGATAGGTGGTCATTCAATATATAAAATTCAAATTGTGTATACATATCCATTCAAAACTCTGAAAATTAATTAAATATATAAAGTTGGTTATTTGTCTGTGTTTGTGCAAATATTACATGAAATTGTGACATTACATGAGTGCATTTATATTTATTTATTTCTTGCCAATCTTAAGTTTAATAAAGATAATTTGCATATTCAGCTGTAAAAAGGAAATTTTAAAATATAACATTTTGTTATTAATTTTCAGTTTGATCTGATATTGTGATCTTTAGAAATAAATGATTGTTTTGTTGATTGACTTTTATAAATAAATTACTTAGTCATTCAAATAAAGTGATCATGACTTTGGCATTTAAGTCATAGGTTGGTACTGAACAAAGTAATCAATGTTGGCATGTTTTTAATAGTCTATTTCGAAAACCTAACAAATTATAACGTACCATGCTATATATGAATTAGATGATGACGAAAATGCTTAAATCTATGGAACTATATTCATGACAATAATTTTGCTAATCCCATTTTATGGCATCCTTTTAATGTCAATAAAATATGTTAAGTAGTTGTAATAAGGAAGGAGTTATACTTTGTTTTAAAGAATATTTGCACACAATAATCTCAGGTTAATTTGGGATTGGTATGAAAAGGAAAGATTTAAAAAATAACTACAAAATTTTAGATGTCTAAAAAACCACATTAGATATTTTTCAGGGTAGATAATGTTGCATCTTGTATTAATTTTATATAACTCTTTGTTTCTTATTATTTTAAACATTGTATTTATTTGATAATTTAATAAAACTTAATTAATTCCTTATAAATATTTGTATATTTAGTTTCATTCTTTTCATATATTTGTGATACACAACTGGCAAAAATATCAGTTATACATTAACATTCTGTCCTTAGCTAGTCTTTTTTATGCCTCAAATGTACTGGGATTATTTCTTTTTACCACAAGATTATGTCCATCAGTTTAACTCTTGAAATACAGTTTATAAATACAATTTCTTTTTAAATTTACAATTTGACAATTTGATTTGCATAAACATACCAAACTGTTTTTTTTTTGTTTTTTTGTTTTTTTTTAAATATTTAACTTGTAATGTTGTTTTTATGAAATTCTTGAATAAACCTGAGCTTAGATATTTTGTTTAATTTTGAAAATCAGCTTTAGTAGCTTTTTGAAAATAGAAAAAGCCATATTTGAAGATATATATAAGCAAATACCTGCAATGATTTGTAAAGTTTTGTACTTTTTTTTTTTTTATTGTTGTTGTGTATAAATAAAAATATATACATAGACATATATTGTGTTTTATCTATGTAGGTGAAATATTTATACAGAAATGCTGATAGGTGCATAAAAATGTTAACAGATGATGTTAACTTTCCCATCTATGCATGCCATGGAGGTTCCCATGAAAAGTGATTCACTACACTTATTCTTTCAAATACTTTTTACTAGTTTTTTCTTTCACTTACTTTTTCCTTTCATTGGGCGGTAGGATGTGTGGGTGGCATCTTATCAAAAATTTTCTTGGTTTGTCTTTTTTTTTTCTTTTTTTAAAATTTATTTGACTCCTCTAAACACACTGAAGTTTGCTAAACGTTGCTTTAAATACTGTTTTTCTTTTGAATTTATTGATACAATTGAAAAGAAAAAAACTTTTGTTGTGTCAACTTAAAACTTGTTCTGTCATAATTCTCAAAAAAATATAGTTTCTTAATTGAACTTTGAAATGTAAATACTGTTTCTGTTTTGAATTTATTAATTAAATTAAAAAAAAAATAGTTACTCCATAAATTTAAGTGATTTGACATAATTAAATTTATTTTTTTTTTTTTTAACAAGTCTCTAGCCCTGCAGTTTAACACAGTTTATTAAGAAAGTTTAGTCAGGACACATTGAATTTCCAGAGACCCACCTAAATTACCACCTGTGGGTCCCAGGGACTCACTACATTAAAAAACCTATCAGCATCAATGTTTATGTGAATGCATGTAACATAATTTGACTAGATATAAAAGAGCAACAAGGAGGAGACACGATATATCTACTTGAAATTAACTACCTCTCCAGTATTTTTTTTTTTTCATTATTATTTATGTTTATTAATATACACATTGGTAGGGAGAAAAAAAAAACAAGCCACTATTGGGTCATTGTTAATAGAAAGAATTGTAGGCACAAAATAATTCCTTTGCTTTAAATGTTTTTATTCATTTTTGTAGGTTTTGGAAAGAGGAAGCCAACTTGTAGCATTTGAAATCACGCTTAGTGTGGGTCAGTTAGTGAAGAAATATGGACAGGTGTTGACGTATGCTGGTTGGGACATGGTCATGGATATCCTCAGTTTACTGCTAAAAAATCCGGAAGTAAGTAAGAAATATGTTTTATATACTTTGTTACCAAATATTGTTTCTGTTTTGTTTTGTTTTTGTTTTGTTTCCTTAAATGATTATTTATTAATAATAATAATTTATTGTATTTTTAATTTTTAAGAATTATTTTGAGAAATATTATCATTCCAAGAATAGTTTGGAACATTGAAATTATTCATTCTATTTATTTTGTTGCTTTAACCAATCTGTTCTACAGCCTTTTTCAAGTGTACAGTTTGTAAGGGAAGAGAAAGGATTTATTTTTTCTCAGTTGGGTTTAGGAATTGGGGAGCATTTCTGTGTATAAATATGAAATCACTTGTGTTACATAGGTTGCTGAGAATGTTATAATCTGTATGATTTGTGCTGTTATCAAAGAGTCAAGCTGGTCACTATATTAACCACCTTTTATAGAAAAAAAAAAACAATTGTCAGTGATCTATGGTGGACTGTATGTTCCACAATTTACAGTGTTAGTTCCTTTTCTTTCCTCTGCAGAGACACTTGTGTTTGCATCAACCTGTTTGCAGGAACATATAGCCATGATCAATTCTTGGAATAGTAGTAAGTTTAACCTGACACAGTCATACTTGTATGGCACTTAGCAAGAATTGAATTCTCTACATTAGTGTATAGCATGCAAGTTAGTCTTGCAGACTATTTTTAAACATCTTGGGGTGTGTGTCTCTCTCTCTCTCTCTCTCTATATATATATATATATATATATATACAAATTATCCCATATTGTGTCTTTGTTCTCATCCGCATCATTGTATATTCACATGGGAAATAGGAAAAGTGAAATTGACGTTATGCTCATGAATGAAAAACAAGAATTCCATTCCCCATCTATTTGGTTGTTTATTCATGAATTCACTTTTATGAACTGGTGAGAATAGGTAGGTGACCCTTGAGACATTTTCTGCTACTTCTGTTGTGATACACTAACAAACAAGATCTTCCCTTGGCTAGTCCAGATCTCTCAACAGATGGCCTATACTTTGCTAATGAGCAGCATTAGAACTACCCTTAATTCAAATTCTGACTGTTTATATAAGCTTGTGAGCAGAACTTTTTAATTTTTGGTCAAGTGACACTTGTTTCCAAAAGTTTTAATTTATTTTATTCCCTTTTGGTCAGTAGGTGGCTATTTTTAATCTCACTTCATATGTAAAAACACCAGACACTTCAGACTCGGATAAAAATCATTTACTACGCACTTCTATGTCACTGTCTTGATCCAGTTGTGTGAGGGAGTCATAATATCATGCATTATACAAGTTGCAGCAGAAATACCTAACATAATAAGAAATTAACTGGATGAAGACACTATTGCCATTAATGTCTTACCATTATGTGGAAGCTATTTCTGTCACATAATCTACTATGACACAGACCTGTTATTTTTTGAGCTTTTCTCAATTTTTGATAAAAATTATATAATTGGCACTTATTTACATAAATCTAGAAAACCATGCCTCAAATCATTATGGCAAATCCTCTGTAAGGCAAGACTCACATTAGACTTTGTTCTTCAGTTCTATTTTTCAAGTTGCCATCAAAAAGTTTAATTCATGCT